CCTTGGACAACGAGGGCACTGTCGGAGACGGTGGTGGAGGAGAGTGACCCAAAACCATTAAAAATGAACGGCTCAGTGGACCACAAGGAGTCGGTCGTCAGCGATGATGTTGAAGCCAGTGTTCCGATGCTGCAGAGGACAAAGACACGCCTTGAGCAGGGCATCGTCGATAGAACGGAGACAGGAGTTTTGGATAAAAAAGAGGGCGAACAGGCAAAAGCCCTGTTTGAAAAAGTCAAAAAATTCCGTATACACGTGGAGGAAGGGGACATTGTGTACAGACTGTACATTCGCCAAACAATTATCAAGGTTATTAAGTTTATTTTGATCATCTGCTACACAGGGTATTATGTGCATGACATTAAATTCAGCGTGGACTGTTCAGTGAACATTGAGAACCTGACCGGCTACAAGCTGTACCGCTGTGCTCATCCCTTGGCGACACTTTTTAAAATCTTAGCCTGTTTCTACATTAGCTTAGTCGTGGTTTACGGTTTGATTTGCATGTACACTCTCTGTTGGATGCTGCGGCGTTCTCTTAAGAAGTACTCCTTTGAGTCCATACGAGAAGAGAGCAGCTACAGTGACATACCTGATGTGAAGAATGACTTTGCCTTCATGTTGCACATGATCGATCAGTATGACCCGCTGTACTCCAAGCGTTTTGCAGTGTTCCTCTCAGAAGTTAGCGAGAATAAGCTAAGGCAGCTAAACCTGAACAATGAGTGGACGTTAGATAAGCTCAGACAGAGGATAACGAAGAACTCTCAGGATAAGTTGGAGTTGCACCTTTTCATGCTTAGCGGCATTCCAGACACTGTGTTTGACTTGATGGAGCTGGAGGTTCTCAAGCTGGAGCTAATCCCAGACATCACCATCCCACCAATCATTGCTCAGCTGGTCAACCTTCAAGAAATGTGGCTATACCACACACCAGCAAAAATCGAAGCTCCAGCATTGGCAAATCTGCGTGAGAACTTGAAGTCCTTACACATCAAGTTCACTGACATCAAGGAGATTCCCTTGTGGATATACAGTTTGAAGAACCTGAGTGAGCTTCACCTGACGGGGAACCTCAGCGCTGAGAACAACCGTTACATTGTCATAGATGGGCTCCGAGAACTTAAGAGGCTCAAGGTTCTTCGACTGAAGAGCAACCTGACCAAGCTACCTCAGGTGGTTACGGACGTGGGCATGCACCTGCAGAGGCTCTCCATCAATAATGAAGGAACCAAGCTGATGGTCCTCAATAGCTTAAAGAAGATGGTGAACCTGACGGAGCTGGAGCTCATCCGCTGCGATCTAGAACGGATACCGCACTCAATCTTCAGCTTGCACAACTTGCAGGAGATTGACCTTAAGGACAACAATCTGAAAACCATTGAGGAGATTATAAGCTTCCAACACCTTCGTCGGCTGATTTGCCTTAAACTCTGGTACAACCACATTGCCTACATTCCTATCCAGATTGGCACACTGAACAACCTGGAGAAGCTTTACCTAAACAGGAACAAAATCGCGAAGATTCCGAGCCAGTTGTTTTATTGCCGAAAGCTGCGATTTCTGGACCTGAGCCATAACAACCTCACCCACATCCCGACGGACATTGGCTTCCTACAGAATCTTCAGTATCTGGCGGTCACAGCCAATAGGGTATGTACTTCAGCATCACTCTTTATCTTAAAAAAAAAGTAAAATCTAATGAAGATGAAAAACCTTGTGATCCATAATAGAAATTTCCCATCAACATTTGTCTGTGGATCAACTAAAACTACTTTAGCTAACGTTAGCTCTGGCATACTTGCATGTTGTGCATTGACTGACGTCTTTAGGTTTAAATCTCTGTGGTGATTAGAAAACTCTTTCTCGCACCGTTTGATATCAACAGTCGGTTTAAGTGCCATCGCAAAGACCAAATATAGGGTTGCGGTTTAGCCTCCTGGACTGTTCACCTAACTTTTTGTGCACCTAAAGTGCTTAAATGTCTTCTTTCATTTTTTTTAACAATCCCATTATTTTGTTTAAATACAGATCGAGAGTCTTCCTACAGAATTGTTTCAGTGCAAGAAGCTCCACACTTTGAACTTGGGGAACAATTGCTTGCACTCTCTCCCCCCTCGGATTAGCGAGTTGACCTCACTGACGCAGCTGGAGCTGAGAGGGAACCGTTTAGAAAGTCTGCCCATGGAGCTGGGCGAATGTCGACAGCTGAAGAGAACAGGTCTGGTGGTAGAAGAAGACCTTTTCAACATGTTGCCCACCGAGGTTAAAGAACAATTATGGAAAGTGGACAGAGAGCAGGCCTAAACATATCTGTTCCCCCTGACCCTGATTGAGCATGATCCTTGAGGGTTCGCTAAAGACAGGAAACAGAAACCCTGCTCCAATGCGGGGTCACTTAGGTTGGGCATCAGAAACCAACACTAGATAACTACAATCTAGTAGCTTCTGGTTGTTGTTTTTAATTCCCACATGTCCATAAATTTACTTTTTTGTTCCGCACACTCCTTTGATGATGCTAACAGCTGTCATGTAGCAGTGTCACGCAGAGGTTCAGTTTGAAAACGCACAGACACGAACACAAGATGTTTCCAGTTTAGTTTCTGGAAAAACTTTATTTTTACTTTATGCGCAATACAAAATTAATTTGTAGTAATTGCTGTTTGCTGAAAGCACATAACCTAACAGTACCAAACACGTCATCTCTTTGTTCTCTAATCATCAGACCCTGTGTTCTTCTCAGTTTATTGCAATAATATAATGTTTAATAATATGTAAGGTCGAGGGTGGTGCTTCTGAATAAAATGTCCTTGGAGGAAAAATGTTCTGCACTACTTAGGATAAACTGCAATATCCGAACATTCAGTCTGTTACTTTTATAACAATATTTTTTTAATTATAATTAGTATTATTTACCTATTGTGGTGAAGTCGGCTATTTCATTCTTTTAGCTTCTAACATGAAAGAGCTTTTCAACCAAGACGTTCTGAAACATCTGGGATCAAATTCGATATTATTTGAAGAATCCGCAGCTCCCACTAAACGAGCCACAAATCGATCAATGAGAATGATGTTTATATTTTAATAGTGCCAAGAAAAAAAAATGCCACCCTTGCTTTACTTTTCACATTCTGTTTAAACTACAGCGTCAGTCAAACACAGACTGTAACCTGAGAATTGTTCACCTTCGTAGGTACATTTTTCCAGAATTCTTTACTGTGAATATTTTCACTTAACGGCTGAAAGAATTCAGCTCCACATCAGTTCAATCGTGAAGTTCAGATTTCTAGACAGAATGACAGGGCAATTTTATATCCAGTAAATCAACAATCCATTCACTTTCTGTTGCTCTAATACAGAGTCACTACAGATGGTATTTACACAGACTGTGGGAAACCGTCTCACAGTTCACTGAATAATTACTCATTAATCAATCAGTAGCATTGTGTCAATGGATAAAGATGATGTTTTACCAGTAGCAGCGGTGGAACAGAAATGAATTATAGAATCAAAAACCAACAGAAGAAAGTGGAAAAATAATCTGAAATCAAAGTGGATCTTTGAAAATAAAGTAGTGAGTATTTCCATCACTGTGCAGTGGTGGCTTAGTGGTTACCACTGAGGTGCTCTGAGCATGGCACCGTCCCCACACACTGCTCCCCCGCTCAAAAAAGCTACCCACTGTTCACTTTGGTGATGGGTTAAATGCAGAGGTCACATTTCGTTGTGTGCAGTGATGTGTGTCACAGTGACAAGTAGTTCACTCTTCTTTCTTTTCCTAATGGATAAAAAATTAAACCTTTTACACCTTGACAGTTAGTATTCTGATTGGAGAGAAACTAATGTTTCCAGATAGACTGCGCAAAAGGCCATTAGCTGAGAAGAAGGGAAAATGGCCGTCGGCATGAAAAGTTCTAAGACATTCCCTTTTTTTTTTTTTTGGTTGGTTGTAAAAGTTGAATTAAAAATTAAGGAGCAGAGTTCAATCTTAGTTTTAATAGCGGATTTGTGTCAGTGATGTCGTTACTCCTGCCGTCCCTCCAGGATGAAGAAAATTACATCACAAAGTAAAATTCTGAAAATGTGTTTTATCTCATCGTTAATGTGCTTCCATATAAAAAGTCTGGTTGTTGGTGTTTTTTGTTTTGTTTCATCTGTTAAAAAGTTCTAAACTTTTTTTTTTGCCGTGCACCACAGGGTCCAGTGTGATATAAAAATATTGTGAAATTGAAGATTAATCCACAGGCCTTACACAGCACAACCAGCAAACAGTGGTTCTCCCGGTGCAGTATTACTGTAACACTGCAAGTGAACCTGGACAGAGCAGTATGCCGTACAATATCTGGGCTGACATCTTGTGACTGTTTTATTGTGCAATATTGCTTTTTTGGAACAACTAATAGATTTGTGTATTTTTTATTCATTGTGTCTTTTTTGGTAGTTTAAAGATGAGACGAATACATGGTTTTGCACTGTATTACAACAGCAGCGAGGCACGGATATGCAAATTGATGCTGTTTTTTTCTAAATATGTGGAGTTTGTTTTTTTTAATGTATGTTGTCCTTAATGTATCAGTAAACTCACAATCAGACAATCAGTCATCGGTAATAAGGTATGTTTTTGTAAATAACTGTTAGTTAAAGGAAAATATGTTACAAGTTTGTTCTTCCATTTCCCTAAAATGTCTGCAAAAAAATACTGTATATACTGTCTATATCTTGTTTTTTTCACAGCTATTATGAGGTATTAATACAGCTCAGCTATAACTCAGGAAACCAGTAAGCACACACTTTGTGTTTTATTTTTTTATTTTAGTCAATTTTTTAGGCGTAGCTATTGTTGTTTTTTTTATTTATTTAGTTGTGGTTAAATAATGTTTTGTATGAATTGAATGACCTTACTGGCTTCATGTGTATTTTTCAAATGAAACGCTGGTTTTAATGGAGGAGTGTTTGTTTTCTTTAAGAAGTATTTTGACAAGGAGTAGTAATGAAAATGAGCCATGTGGGAACTATTCAGTTGTCGATGCGATTTGTCCAGAGGAGTTTAGTGTTTGTGTTTGTTAGTTTTTTGTCTGTTGCCCTGATGTGACCTTTGACAGTTGTCCTGAAATTAATGGATTTAATTTGTGTTGTCTACAGAATTCATTCACACAGCCTTCCCACCTTTTATTATTTTTATTATGTCAGTGATGAGTTATTGACACAACAATAAAACGAATACTATTGTTTATACACTTGCCTCTTATTTATTCACAGTCCTTTAAAAATTATATTTCAAATAAAATAAAACTGATCCTGTCACCATTAGGTCTCTCTTGTATTATCAGTTCCTTGAACCAAAATATGCTGATGTCACTTCATGTTTTACAGTGAGGAATTATAATTCCTCTTATTTTTGAAATACTTAATTGATTTGTCTTTTTTTTTATTCTTAGTTCACCTCGACCTGACAGCAAGTCTACTAACGTTCCACCACAAAATATAAAAAAAAAATCGATAGAATATGTCTAGGAACCAAGATTGTGTCCTGAACCTATACCTAAGTCAAAAAACACAAATTAGAACGATTTAATATGGTCAATTCACCGGTTTCGAGTGCTAACACCCGCCTAGAAATAACTTTACATTCGTTGCGGAACTTAAAACACAGGGTAAATGCGGAAGATCGGACACGTTTATCTGCCGCACGTAACACCGGACACAGCGCAGCGTTTGAAATGGTAAACATATTTCTCTTAGACTCAATCTAAATGTTTCCATTCTGCGTAATGCCTCATTTAAACTCCTGTATGATGTTGTAAATGTATATATTTTTGAAAGGAAGTTTAATATGGCGTAAATGTTAATGTAACGTACCCATCTAGTTATTACGGTAACCGGCACAGCTAAGCAGCCATTATTACGAAATGACAATTATGCTTTTTTTAAGTTCAGTTTTTATCTGTTAAAATGTATTTACATTATTGGGTGTTTCTTATAGGCTGTTACTCTCCATACCGACGTGGGAGATGTTAAAATCGAATTGTTCTGTGAGCGCACACCAAAAACGTGCGAGGTAAGGTTGTATTTATTTACACGTGAACGTCTCACCGGTTGAAATCGTTATATCCCGGTCAAAATCTGACTTTTGTGAACGTAAAGTAGTTACAATTATAATTTTTTATTTATATTTTCTAAAATTCATTAATTTATAAGAATTTACGTATAAATTTGTCTTGACCTGACTTTATAAATCACTTTACCCTGCAGAACTTTCTTGCCCTGTGTGCCAGTGAGTTCTACAGCGGTTGCCTGTTCCACAGAAATATCAAAGGTTTCATGGTTCAAACAGGAGATCCAACAGGTAAAGGATCACATGTTGCATGTGATCAGTATCTACAATATTACAAATGAGGATGAATTAAGATGTTAAGATTTGATTTAAATATGTCCATGACCCAGGTACGGGCAAAGGAGGAACGAGTATATGGGGTCGCAGTTTCGACGACGAATTCAGCGAGCACTTAAAAGTAAGCTCCTCTTTTCGCTACTGTTTCTGTAATAATGTTAGATCATTGACAATGTTGCGTGGTTTTATATTTTTCTATTTTTTTAGCACAATGTGAGAGGAGTGGTCTCAATGGCCAACAACGGTCCCAACACCAACGGCTCGCAGTTTTTTTTCACGTACGCCAAACAGCCACATCTGGACATGAAATACACCGTGTTTGGAAAGTACGTAAACGTCACAGCCTTTAACTAGTGTTATATCACAGTCCACTTAATATTACCCTAACGTGGTCTCCTCATTATAGGATTATTGATGGTCTAGAAACGCTGGATGAACTGGAGAAACTACCCGTCAATGAGAAGACATTTCGACCACTGTCTGAAACCCGGATAAAAGATGTCACCATTCACGCTAACCCTTTTGCGGGGTAGCCTCTCTGTACCTATATGTGGCACGGAGAAAAAAAAGTGTTGTTGTCGTTAATCGAAAAGAAAGACAGAAGGTGTCTATTAATGAACCGTGTTGTTTTTGGTATAACATTGAAAATAAATGTGTTTAGTTTATAAAAAAAATGTTGTTGTTGTTGTATAAATGCCCCATAACAACTGAAATATAAGGATTTGTCTATGAACTCGTCATTTTTAATTCTACCAGCTTAATTTTTAATGTGCCCTCAACTGTGTTTCTTATACATAATAATAATACATTGTATTCCATAGGTGCCTTTCTGTCACGCAAGGACACCTTACAGTGAATACAAAGATAACAAAACAAAAATTAAAAAAAATAGGAACAAGTTAAAATACAACAGTGAAATATCAGACGGAGAAGGCAATTTTAAACAGATACATTTTAAGTGCAGACTTGAATTGTGGGAGTGAATTGATGTTCCTCAAGACGGGGGGTAGAGAGTTGCAAAGCTGGGGAGCTGAGCGACTGAAAGCTCTGTACCCCACGGTGGTGAGAAGGGCGGAGAGGACAGTCAGATGAATGGAGGAGGATGATCTGAGGAAGCGGGTAGGAGCAGCGACATGAAGAAGATCTGAGACTTGTGGATGGCTTTGAATGTGAGGATTTTGTATTTAATACGAGACTTGATCGGGAAAACATGGATAAATAGTTCCGTGAAGTAAACAATTATTGTCTTTCTCAAGAAACGTTTTTTATGCATAAATAACAAAATGTCTTAAAACAACAATGTATTTTCTAAATTTGTACATAAAAAACATTGTTTAAAAAATCATTTATGCCTGACTTCCTGATTACGTCATCAGTCGTGGACGACTTACGTTCGACGGGTATTTGAAATAGTCGAAAACTACACTCATTTCAGCAGCAATGGCATCTGAGGACGCATGTAAAGTACGTTGTTTTTTTGGGGTTTTTTTTTTGGGTGTTTTACATATGTAATGTACTTTTTAAATTATAATTCTTGTTATTTTACACTCAAAAGCGTTGACGCTGGTCGTTCCTGACGTAACTGGCTGATGACATGTGTTTTAGGTTTCTTCTCTGAAGGGAAAAGTCACCCTGATCACCGGGGCCAGTTCGGGCATCGGTGCAGGAACCAGCCTCCTGTTCGCCAAGCTCGGAGCTCTGTTGGCTCTGAACGGCCGCGACGTGGACAATCTTCAAAAAATTGCCAAACAGTGCACGCAGTGTGGAGCTGCGGAGGTATTAAAAACAAACGAACCCTCGCACGAAGCAGAATCACGCAATTTTACGTACTAGCACAGATTAAAGCTATAGTTGTTCAGATTAAAGCAAAGCGAGGTTCGAATATATGGTAACATATAAAAGTTTTTTTAAATATTTTTTTGTTGTGACATAACTTTTTTTGGGAGGGGGGGGGTCTGTCTTAAAGGGACAGATCCCATTCTATTCTGTTCGATCTGAAACTGATTCTTCCATGATGGATATGGCTCAATGACCGGGAAACTCAATTTTTAAACTTTAAAAACTTGTGATGCACTTTTAACTGTGCACTGAAACCAGGGACATGCTAGACCTGAGCTGTCAACACAAGGTGGCTCCATTAGCATAGCTACCGCGGGGGGCTCTGGGAACTCTTGCCTCAGGGCCCAGCGCCTTTAGGGGGGCCCATGGACTTTGCAGTACCCATGCGAGTTGGGTTGGACAGAGTTGACATAGCCGTAGGGGACAACGGTTCCCCCAGTCGCATATTAATGCCACACCATTACGTGTAGTGCAGCTGTGTTAAAACAGTGTCACGCTGAATGATAGAGAAATAAAGTTCGTATTAGTGCTGGGTTTTCCTGAAGTCAGTGAGTGCGTCTTGAAAGCCGGTTGGTTCTATGACTGACAGGTCATTTAAACAGAAAACATTTTAAAATGTGAAATTACACCATAATGTCCATTAATTTAATGATGAATATTTATATCTTATAAAATAAAGTTTATAACAAAGTAGTCCATGATAGCAGAATTCTACATTTCCGTTACAGTATTTTCACGGACCTGTCGTCAATGTGAGGCGAAAAACATCGACGAAATAGAATGACCTAGAAGATAATATATTTATAAATTATAACGTAAAGTTTATAATAGAAACTAGTCCATGACAGCAGAATTCTACGACGTTTTCGTTACTATATTCTCACGGACCTGTCGTCAATGTGAGGCGAAAAACATCGACGAAATAGAATAATCTCGAAGGTATTAACGCAAAAAAAAAAAAAAAGATCAGTGAAAGCGAAGCTCACTGTAACGTTGAAGGCCACATGACGTGAACAGTCCATAGCACATGAGAACTACCTGTGGCAGTAATGGCAACGTTCTTTTATTTTGAAAGCAAACGGCTTGTCTTCCGTCTCTGAAACTCTGCCAAGACTTTTATTTTTTTAAAGCGAGTTTGCGTGCGCCAAACGACATCTGTGAGAATTTGTATTTTTTCAAAGTAAACATAAACACAATTCTGCTTTGAACTAAATAATACACTTCCGGTTGGCGTACCAAAACTAGTTTGAGTTGTTCTTATTGAAAATGGGTGGTAAAAAATAGTTGTATGTAATGTAGAAGACAAATTCGACCTAAAGATGAAGTAGTTAGCATAAACTAGCATAAATCCAGCTAACTAAATATCAAATACTTTACTGCAACAGGTAATACTACTTAATTATCTCTTAATAAATTCAGAATACTTTATTATCACCACTTTAAGTGTCAAATATGAGAACATACGTGTCTCTTAGCAAAGATAGATAACATAGTATATATGTGTACTTTTGAACATGTTTTTATTCGTAGCCCTTGCTTGTGCCTGGAGACCTGACAGATGAGGAGACGGTGAAGAAGACCGTGGAGCAGACCATCGCTCACTTTGGTCGACTCGATGTTCTGGTCAACAGCGCTGGGATCTTGGCTATGGGCAGCATCGAGACGACAGACCTGGCCCAGTATGACAAGGTCATGAACGTTAATGTCAGGTAGGAACATCAGAGACAAAAACCTAAACTCAATGCTGATATATTTTACTTGTGCAAAGGAGACCTTTTTGATGAAAGTTCAAATGTAATTGCAAAAAAAAAATCAATCAAACCAAGACAAACGAAGACCAGACCAGTTACAAACACTCCAACGTCATCGGGCTCAATATGAAACCTGTCCGGAAAAAAGTGAAACGGCGAAATCTGCTGCTTTGATTTCCCAGTCCCCACATCATATGAACACATTTTAGAAATGTTTACTCCAAGCCTGGAGAAATATCATCCAGAAATGTAGGTTTCCAGCACTGGGCCACTGATGGGTTGCCTGTGTGGTTCCACCTCCTGGCAACCAGCTTCTTGCTGCTTGCTGTAAATCTGGCTAAAGTAATTTATTCTGGTGTTCCGTGGCCGGCAGGCAAAGCAAATCGTTTCAGACTAGAGCTGGAGCTGACACTCGTACCGTCATGGAGAACATATCTAACAACCGAGCACACACTCTGTTCACAGAATAGCCATAGGTGGAGTTTTCCAGAATATATGAACGAAGGTAGCGGTAGCTCCCAGCTAGAACCGGAGTCAGCAGAGTCTCATAAGGATCAGGTTTTGGCAGCAGAAAGTCTGTATTTTTGGAGGAGTTGTGTGAAGAAATAAAGTGCAGAACAAGAGATAATGTAATCTGTAAAATCTCATTAACATCCAAAGTCTGATGTACTGTATATCTGAATGTCCCAGGTCTATTTTCCACCTGACCCACCTTTGTGTGCCACACCTGATCGAGACCAAAGGCTGCGTGGTCAACGTGTCTAGTGTCAACGGACAGAGATCGGTGAGTATAAAGACGCTCCGTCATTCACCACATCTATAATGAAGCATGTGAACAACCTGGTTGCGTTTCCTCTCCAGTTCCCTGGTGTTCTCGCCTACTGTATGTCCAAGTCTGCCATCGACCAGTTCACACGCTGCACTGCACTAGGTGATGAAGTCTGAATAACTCTTCACTCTTAACATTTGACAATTTTTAAAAATGAAGTCAATTGACTTTTGACTTTTTTCTTTCTTTTTTTTTAGAGCTGGCATCAAAACAAGTCCGAGTCAACTCAGTGTGGTATGTGCATATGTTTGTGTGTGTGTGTGTCTCTGTGTAGAAAAACTCATTATGTTTCAGTGTGACTCTCTGTGGTCATTAACATCACTTCTCTCGTGTTTTTTATATATTTTCAGTCCAGGTGTGATTGTTACTGAAGTCCACAAGAGAGCAGGACTCGATGAGGAGCAGTATGCTAAGGTAACATCTGTCTAGTCTGTGATACCTGTCAATTAAAACATCATGATGGGACTAGTTGAAATTACTGACACTTATTTTTAAATTTGTTTCAATTCATTCTCAACTATAGTCTATATCTAGATATGAAGACTATTCAACTTTTAAAATGATATAATATATATTTACCTATATATTATATATATTTTATATACTGCATATACGTACATACATATATGTATATACAGTATATATACATATATAGGGAGAGATATCTATATATTTTGATGTGTATGTATATATATACTGTATGTAATATATACATGTATTTATCCATACATATATGTACATATATACATTTATTTACATACACTATGTACATTTATAGATACAAAAAACTATGCAAAAATATATATATATATATACACATATGTGCATTTATGTATATATATACTTGTATTTGTATTAAACCCTATTTTGTGCAGATTATAGCTATCTTTACACTAGATTTACTTCCTATAAATGTAATCCTACTTTTGTTTTTGTTTTCTTTTGTTTTCTTCTTCTTTCTTTTACCCTCAGTTTCTTGAGAAATGCAAGCAGACCCATGCTCTAGGGCGACCAGGTGAGGTGGACGAAGTGGCCCAGAGCATTGCCTTTCTGGCATCTGACGCGGCCAGCTTCATTACTGGAGTCAACCTTCCCATAGATGGAGGTCGTCACGCCATGTGCCCAAGATAAAAGGAGGAAAAAAAGGAGATATTGTTGACATGCTTTTGGCTGTGAATACAGAGCTTTCAAACCATGTCTCTATCCTAAATTTAATTATTTACTTTTGGAAATCAGAGTTAGGAGAAATGTTACTGTGAGAGAAGACAAAAAAAAAACCTTTAACTTACCTCAAGAATACAAGATTTTTTTTCACCCTTGTTTGTGTTACTGTCAGGATTTGACAACTTCGGGTGAGAACTAAACAGAAAGGAAGCTTAGCTGCACTCTTCTAAGTAGGCAGTTTACCTGCATTTTATCATCACACCTGCCACAGAGTTCCGTCTGACGTTGGGGGTCGGGGGAGGAGACAAAATACAAAGCTGCTTATGAACAAAGGCTTCAGGCATTTATTAAATAATCCTTTTCATTAGTCTTCATTCACAGCAGAGATGCCTGAACAGACCTGGATATTCATGTACTGTGGGTATTAAGGTTGGTGGGATTAGACAGAACTGAGGCAGAGTTCAACTGCAAATGCATCAATAGTGAATAACTGACTGGGAATGAGGTGGGAATGTCTGGAGATACAGGAGAGTAAAGGACAAAAATAATAACCCTCGTACACTATAGAGTCCTTGAAGCACCAAATAAACGACACATGCTGATAAACCTTTTTCCTCGGGTTTTAAATCAAACGTGAATACACTGGAGAAAAGAGTTGTGATGAAGAGAAACAGAGCATCGTCAACAATACAGGACAAGTTCATTTACTGCATCAGTAAAATCCAATATGGTACCATGTAATTTCAGTGTTTTAAAATACTATATTAAGATTGGGTTTCGTGGAGTCCAGCAGCTTCTGCAGGCTGTAAAATATATTGTTTTCATTAAAGGACAAAAGAATTGTCAGATTGATCCCACAGCTTTCAAATAAACAGATCAAGATTGTCCTAAACCATCTTTTAAACTAACCTGAATCTCGTTTCCTCGTCTCAGCGGGCTGCCCCATTTCTGGTCGGAGTAATATGTACGGTAATTTTAGCTGTACTACGAACACTGAACAGTGGAAAAATATGACTTTGAAATCACAATTTGACAAATACAGTTACCCACTCTGCAGTTTTCTTAAAAAAATTAAAGGTCTTTTGCAGCTGTGATGCTAACGTGGATAAACAGACTAGCGATGTTTTTTTAATAACATTAAAACAAATATGAAATCAAACATTTTGGTCAGCCATTAGTTTTAAAATTCTGTTGAATGTGTGAAATGGGTTCATATGATGGAGATAATGCTTTACACTGAGAATGTCTGCGGTTCGATTACTGTAGTAACACTTTGTGTACAAAGGTTGCCAAACTTCTCATCTTCTCCTGACCCTGAAATTACTAAGCATTAGAAAATGAATAAATGACATGAAAGTCAAGACTATTTTTATATTTTTTTTCTAATTAAATCTAAGAGCCAGTGTAGAACGCACAGAGTTGTTTTTTTATACTGAAAACCAAAAAGTGTGAGTGTACTTTTTAGTTGTTTTTCTTTGGCCAGACTGGAGTGTCAACAGTTGTAGCACCAGGTGTCACCTCTGTCTCATCCCCCACTTTGACAGGTTTGCAAATACTTTGCTCTGCGGAGAGAGGTGCAGTACGAGGTAGTGTCTTGACACACCTTTCTCCCGACGTGGAGTCCTCTGCCCTACTGTAACGTGAGTGTGTAGCGCACAGCAGTTATTTTGCTCACAGACATGAACGTACGCATGTGAATGCAATTTCTCTCAGCACCGGACACCGGTCTGTGTCGGCTCAAACACACCCACCTTCTGGCAGCGTGTCTGTGTGTATCTGAATGAGTTGTGGCGGTGAAACTGTGTGTCCTGAAAAGGCTGCGTAACTGTAACTGTATTGCACTTTATATTACAAAGTAGTATAAATATACTTGTATAAATAATACTTATACATTAAAATAGGAATAATTGCGATTTTCAGGCGTACAATGTCCCACGCTTCTGTACAGGTCTCTTGTAAAAAATCCTTCATCAGACCGTGGTGATGAAAATATGATACAACATGGTCTGAGAGGCTGCAGAGAAAGACTTTCATATTATTTCCGAAATATAAAAATTGGATCCGAGTCTCAAAAACAAGTCTCTGTAAAAGGCGGTGATATTTACGTTCCGTAGGTTGATGAATGCTAAAATATCCGGGCTCTGTCCAATGACGCGTCTTCCTTCGGTGCTTACTTCTGCTTCTGCAGTTCAAGCATCATTTGTTAATGAGGTCTTGAAAGTCTCAAGTCTCCTCTGTCCACCCTGCGCTCCATCCCTCTTGAAGGGAGTCACTCCTGTAAGGAGTATAGTGCTCCCCACCCACCACAACCCCCCGCTCCACAGAAAACTATAAGAAACACACCGGTCCAACCTCAAGGTAATAGCGTGCTCCATGTTCTGGCTTTGGCAGGTTGTACACGTCTACTACAGGAAGTAGGTTTAGGTCCTGTGTCTGGAAGATGAAGTGTGTCCGATGCCAGTGGCCATCTTTGATCTGAAAGTGTAGAGAGCACAGGGTCACGTGCTTTGAAAAGTAAATGGGTTTTCCAATAACTGACCTGCTAATGGGATTCCCAACCACTGTGCCGCGGCACACTAGTGTGCCGTGAGAAATCATTAGGTGTGCCGCGGAACATTACTTAATTGTCACTTAATTGATCTGAAAAAATTATTATTTATATCTTGCGAATATTTTTTCTTCGTTTGTCAATGCGTGGATCAATATACGAGAATCAGAGCTGGTAAAGAAGATCTTTGTAAGTGTCTTTCTTCAATTCCTGCGAGTATATCAGCGTTGTCTTTAACCAAACAGGTGAGAATTTAGTTAAATATTTAATCTAGGATGTTATTACATTTTATTACAGATTTATTTATTTTATTATTTATTTGGGTCTCAGCACCTCCCTCTGTAACTGGGTGCTAGACTTCCTCAGCCAGCGACCGCAAGCAATACGCATCGGTAACAACTTTTTGTCAGAGTTTTATTTGGTGGTGTGCCGTCGGGTTTCTCTAATGAAGAATATGTGCCGTGGCCCAAAAAACTGTTAGGAAACACTGGATTAGCCAGCATTTTAAAGGGACGGTACACCCAAATTTAAGTGAACTACTGCTAAAAGAAAAGGCTCAACTTCTTCCACTTTTGATGTCTCAGAATAATCCTTGGCATTACCTTCTGTACTAAAACATCTGACCAACAGCTCGGTTCCTAAAATGTGCAGGGATGTACCCTAACATAGTTGCAATTCAATCAGAGTGTAGATTGTCAAATTTAGGACTGATCATTAAAACATCTCCACGGCCCGTACCCAACATTCATCCAGTGGTACAAGTGGTTCCAGAAGGTCTCCAGCTCTGATCTTTTCACCGTTCCACCCCTTGAAGATCACTGCTGCATCCGTGGGCCGTAAAGAAGCTTCTGCTGCCCACACTGGCATGTTGAGGCAGTGAATGGTGATGTGCTGCACAGCCTGTGTGCTCAAAAGGTGAATGAAGTTCATCTGGATACGACCCACTCCAAACTCCAACTGTAAGGCCAAAAGATGACAACATGAGCACAGTATATACTGTAGGTGAAGCACTGGTTAGCAAAACATGTAAACAATTTTTATACTGTCAGTAACAATCTTACGATGTCTACAATAACAGTCGAAACTAAATGAAATCAGTTGGAGGAACCAGAATAAAATATCTCATATAATCACTTACTCATGTGTACACACCCTACTATAATTTGATTGCATTTTTAGACCTGACTAATGACATTAAATAAAATAAAAAAATTATCAACTTAGGCTATGATGAACTCCTACTGAAGGTCAGCTATTTTAAAAAGAATTTCTCACCATGTAGAGTTAAATTTAACATAAAAGAAACCATACCGCAGCAAATATTTATTTATAAAGTATAAATGTGATCTTAGAAAATATTAACATAATTTTAAAGAATTTAAATATCACAAAACATGCAGCAGGTTTCATTTTCGTGTTTTTAATCACTTTTTTTAATCACTTTTTTGATTAATCACCAGTTGAGCAGAATGGTCTTAGGGTAACACAATTAGTTGAAAAAATATCTTTTATTTTTTTTAATCAATTACTTTCAAGCAACCTCATTTGAATTCCAGGTGAGGTCACATACCTAAAGGTGAAAAACACTGCATTGAATAATAACTTGAGAAAGACTGATTTGAACTAAAAAGGTCAAATCAGTCCACAAACTGATTAATCGGTAACAACTGAGTAGTTGCATTTAATTACACTCTGGTTTGGCTATCACACCCTGAGTTCAGAAATAAACATGGCTGCATCTGGTTGACACACTGTGTTAGTCTGTGGTGTGACGTTTATTCTCACTGTTTTTGACATTTAATGCAACAACTCTATCTGGTAGTGATTCCATTCCTCCCTGCGTCCCAGGCCCCAAAAATATTTCTCTCTAAAACCAAGCAATGAAATCATGATGGACAGCTTAAGATAAGATTGCAGGGGTTTGCCAACTCTGTGTGTGTGTGTGTGTGTGTGTGTGTGTGTGTGTGGGG